GTAAAATAAACTTCTCATTGGCTCCTAGCGGGATGTCTTCAGCACCAACTGCGATGACCTCCATGTTCAGAGCGCCTTGCTTCACCAGCTCCATCCATCCACCATAGGGGTGAGTCCCCTGGGGGTGGGCACCGGATTGGCGAGCCGTGAAGTGGTACTGAGGCGGAGGCCATCTTCTCGGTTTAAGTTAATGGGCCTCCTTGATATTTCTAGGGCCTCTTTAATGACACGTGGCCACCAGCGGTCTTCGGAACTAATCGTGCGGGTCTTGTTAAATTCAATAAGGTGACCGGTTTCGGCAGCGAAGAAGGCCACAATACGCTGGCCGAAACGTTAGCCACCATGACATTGACGCGGCTCGTCCCGGACAGCCCAGACAACAATCGAACCCCAGGACCTACGGGTCAGAGCTTCTGAAGGGGTATCTGTTGACGCTCTGAAGCACCCAAGCCGACAACACACGTTAAGAAACGCTGCCACAGAGAAAGGAAGAATCCGATATGACTCCCTTGTTCATTCATGAATTCTTCCGCCAACCATTACTTCGCTCCTCCATCCATTCATGTATTCGCTGATGTAAATGCGATGCAAAGAGCGTGTGTGGCAGGGAGTCGCGTCCGCACCGTCTGGCTAGGAGGACTAGTGCGCCAAAACCGCACGTACTTTTCTCGCCCATACTTCACGGAAAATTACGCGAAAAATTGTACATGATCTTTATTCAAAATCTTTAAGGAACCGATTTCATTCAAGGAAAAAATCTCTATTTTAATAATTGTAGTTGTGGGAAGACACTGAAAAAAATTGAATTTTTGCAATTTTTAAAAAATCAGAGCTATTAACGAATTTGTGACCTTTCACCATTCTCTTAAACGTCGTACACTACCCAACGTTCACTATCCAACAATAATGTTTAATTAAAAACGATGGAGTCATTTTTTCCTTCAAAATTTTGAAAATGTATCAGTGGCTAAGTGTAAAGTACTCCCCTAAGTTAAAATATCGATTTCATGTTGAAGGAGCTGCGACAACAGTCAGATCGACAGGGGAATTAATTTTGGGGAAAATCGGCTGAACAGTTCAGTTGCTCACAGACGGAAGGACTGACAGAAGTTTTACCGTCTTTAGATTTTTCGGAATCAAGGGCCCCACAAAGCATAGATTATGGCTACATCACATGTTAGAGGAATTGTTTTCTAAATTTAGCAGCTGGATTTATTGCGTCAGTTTCTTGTAATAAGAGTTTTTTGCCGAAAATTTCATGTTTTTTCACGCAGAATTACATAACTTTCTCTCTACTGCGTAAGCAAAAGCGAGAAAGTAAAAGTAGTGTATGAATAGATACGAAATTTTTACAGGCTCTTCTTCTGTATTCTCGCCGTGTCCATTCAAATTTTACTTAAGTTTTATACAACACAAACGCGGAAAATAAATAATTAAATAATATGTTGGTAGATTCATCACAATCATTAGTTTTTGCCTGTCGCTAAGAGCTGACTGGTTCGTAATATATTCGGTTCGAGACAAGTAGCGGTGCAACAGAACAGGTATCTTATAACTTCTTACAAGGCAAATAGTAGTGCATAAAATAAACATTTTTAAATTTTCTTCATTTTTAAATTTTCAATATTAGCAAAGCACTGTAAAATAAAATAAAAAATATAGTATTATATTAAAATTTGAACAAGTTAGATAAAAAATAATAATGTTAAAAACTGGTTTCACATAAAATGTTTTTTTTCTTCTTTCACGAGTTTTGAACATGAGAAAAGTCCAGGCAATGCCTGGTATTTTGCTAGTAGCCTATCGGCACACTGACGATTACGGGGTGTTGTGTGGTGTTAACATTTTTCACAAAAGAAGGTTGTACTCATTTTGAAATTCACGAACGGTATATGGGTTGCTTCCCCATCATTAAAGCCGTAAGTTCAGACATTTAATATATACCATTATAATATACCTAAAATACGCAGGCAAAAGAAATTCATTTTTATTAAAATAGGCATAAAAATGGTCTTTATTCTAGCTAAGTTATAGGTGCAAAAAGATGTGTAAACAATTAAAAATTACATTTTAAAGGAATTATTGTAGTAAAATAATAATTAAAATAATTTACATTTTTATTCAAACTCGGAAATTTACTGTAGCACTTAACGTGTGAGGAAACTATATTTCTTGTTAATCTCAATTCAACAGGACTTTAAGATATTACGGCTACAAATGTGTTTTATTCGCGACGCTTTCTCTTCGAAATGATGTTGGGAACTCCCTTTCGAATCTTGAAATGCCATCACTGTCAACGGAATTATATTTTTCATTCTTCGCACTTGTGTAAATGCTTAGAACGGGATATTATTCACAGAGAGCAGTCCTCAGAAGAGATCTGAGTACAAAGTCCTCTGAAGACAGACTGAAAAGTAGAATGAGATTTCTCGTGAGCGAAGAAAGTCTTTCGGCATCAGTAAAACAAAAAGAAAAAAATTATCAAAAAGCTTGACTGATATCATGTTTCTTATGGCTTGACTGATATCTTAAGTTTGACTGATATCATATACACGGCCTCTACTTTCACAGAAAAACACAATACGTCCGTGCCTTCATGTTGTTCAGGCTTGCAGGTGTATGCCAAACTTGATGAAGATCAGTGACAGGAAAAAAGAAAAATATTGATGTATGAGTAAAAGGCAAAAATAAGACAAAATGGCAAAAATTGGCATCGGAAGGTAAAATATGCAAAAAGAAAGCAAAATAAAAATCTACTAAACAACTCCAGAAGAAAAATTAGGTGGTTCCTATTGTCAAAAATCAAGAAATAGTAACAATAACAGGCATTTTTCCAAACCTTCATATTCAAACGTTAAATATTGGTTAAAACTCTTTAAACTTCGAAGAGAACCCCTTGGCCAGAAAACACGCAGCCGACATCAAGTAACAGAGAAATTGAAGAAAACACCGCAATAATGAGGAGGAAGTAATTAATATATTCTTATTGTTACTTTCTATTTTAGCTGTTGTATCTGAGAACCAAACATATCAGTGTAAAAAACTATGTACTTTTTAATACTTATCGTAAATCCAAGTGTATAAAGTAATAAATTATTTTTGCCCGCCAATGTCTATAAATAAAAGATACCAAAAAAATTCAATATATATTCATTTTAGCAATGGAACTACAATAATTTTAACAACCAATTTTGCGAACTACAATAATTTTAACCACCAGTTCTACGAATTACAATAATTTTAACAATCGGTTCTGCGAACTACAATAATTTTAACAACCAATTCTACAAACCACAATTATTCAACAACCGATCTTCGAATTGCAATAATTTTGACCACCAATACTGCGAATTACAATATTCTTAAGAACAGTTTCTGGAAACTACAATAATTTTAACCACCGGTTCTACGAATTGCAATGATTTTAACAACCGGTTCTGTGAATTGCAATGATTTTAACAACCAATACTGCGAATTACAATATTTTTAAGAACAGTTTCTGGAAAGTACAATAATTTTAACCACCGGTTCTACTAATTGCAATAGTTTTAACAAACGGTTCTGCAAACTACAATAATTGAACAACCGGTTCTGCGAATTGCAATAATATTAACAACCGGTTCCGCGAATTACAATAATTATAACAACCAATCCTGTGAATTACAATATTTTTAAGAACAGTTTCTGGAAACTACAATAATTTTAACAACCGTTTCTGCGAGCTACAATAATTTTGACAACGAGTTCGGTCGAAGCACCTGATTGGCAGCACTGTCGCGCCCCCCCCCCTGTGCGAGGTGGCAGTTGCCCTCACGCGGGCTGTTAATACGAGTGCCTCAGTCGCCAGCGCTGCACTTCGCCCAGTGGTCCCGTGCACTTCGGGCGGGCAGGTCGCGTTGTTCCCGCCGCCGCCGCCTGCCGCGCCACCGCCGCGCCGCCGCCGCCGCCGCCGCCACGACTGACCGTTGCTTGGGAGAACTTCCTCTGCCTGTAAGATGACTCCTAGACGCTCCGACTTCATGGGACACGAGCTGCCAGGTGAGTGTTTGGCTCGAATTCTGTGTTTTTTTGGTTTATCCGCCTTGCTTGTCGAACTTCACGAAACTGAGATCGCTCTCAATACAGAAGATATTAAAACACGAATCTTCTAACAATCCATGACTAGAGATGGTAGGTTTTAACAATTGCTAAAAATGCGAAATGTTTGGTTTATCCGCCTTGCTTGTCGAACTTTACGAAACTGAGATCGCTCTCAGTACAGAAGATATTAAAACACGTATCTTCTAATAATCCATGACTAGAGATGGTAGGTTTTAACAATTGCTGAAAATGCGAAATGTTTCTGAACGCAGAAAAAAATAGAACGAGTAATTGCAATTTTGACGGTCAGTGCAGTAGATTTCTAAAGGTTTCCGATCAGCGATAAAACGCGAAAATGATCGCAATATCACGTACAAATTGCGAAATGGTAGCGAATCTACGAAATAAAAATTCCTAAATTGAAGTTTTTTGTTTCCTTCGTGTTTTTAGTTCTGTATCTAGGGAAGCGATATCGACAACACATCGATATTAAAAAAAATTGACTTTCGCCTTATCTACAAATGGCGAAATATTAAATTAGTTTCCCCTTTTTTTGATTTTAATGGAATACTTTAAAAAGCATCAACATATTAGTTTATTTAAAACAGTTCTCCCTTAATACTTTTTTCACCAAATGCAACACAATTCCAAACCTTACATTTTAAAAATGCTATAGCTTTGTTTAAAAATGCGATTTAAAAAAAACACTTTCAAGTGCTGAATTCTACCATCACTATCTATGACCTATTGAAAACATATACAGTACATGATCACATTATTATGATAACTTCTCAATTTAATATCTTGTGAGCTCAAGGTTTTGTATTGTTCTGAGGCACGTGTGTATGGACTTGTTTGTTTCCGATGTTACATGTTACACTTCTCTATGTTTTATGTGCATTTTGAGACATTTTTCTCTGAATAGGTACTAAAAATTAATGGAAAGGTACAGAAATATTGTTGCTTTTTGAAGTATGCAGCATTGTGTCACATTCACTTTTTGAAGAGTTATACCTACCTTACAGTCAGTCTCATTTGCCATTTTTAAGATATCAGGGAAAATATAGTGTACCAAATTTACTAAATTCTGCGTTTGTCGTCTCAAATATCTACAATCAGTTTCGTTATCAATGGTTAAAACACAAATAATCTAATAGTCCATGGCCTAAATAACACTAAGCAACTTCGCTATGGTAGAACATAGATTTTAAGTTAGAACAAAAGCAAACTCAGGTAAATATTACGCGAAATTATATGACTATTATCAACATTAGTCTGTTACTTTTCACACAGGAGGAGTAGTCAAATTTAAACAAAATCTATAGTTCATTGAAACATTTACAAAGTGGATGAAGCGCTCAAAATGCGTATCTTAACGCTTGTTTCTTAAATCGATAGGTTATCAAATTCATATTGTAATAAGATGTCTTATGCAAATCACTATTGTTTAATGTTAACATCTATGTGTGAGACGAATGTGAGAAGTTCTATCTGTGCGTTTTCTAGATTTCTGGAATCCCTCCTTCACCCTTGCTAAGTTGCATTTGGTTAGATTGATGAAATTGTGTCCCACAGACTAATAATAGACGTGCACATTATCTTGTGCTCTGGTGTTTGATTGAATAGTAATTCCGGGCACGTCAACTGTTAGGTACTTAGTCCCGTATATGTAGTGCATGTTTTTATCGCGGGAGGTGGCCTCCGCTGAATAGCGAGATCCGGCGCCGATCTACCAATCAGCTTGCGATCCCCCCCCCCCCAACCGAGTAGGTCAGCAAGCGAGGCACCGCCCGCAGCGGACAGCTCTAAGCTCCGACCCGCTCTTCCCGGCCTTTTGTGCTAGTGCTAGTGCATATTTCCTTCTGTAGGAGAGATACCGTTACCAGGTATCTGCCCGACAGCGGGCACCGCCCCGGCCGGGACAAAGCTCTAAGCTTCCCGACCGCTCCTCCCGGCCTTTGTGTAGATAGTAGTGCATATTTCCTTCCTCGGGAGGAGGATCGAATACTCGAGTTACCAGGTAATCTCCCACCACGAGGAACCCGCTCCAGCCGGGACAAGCTCTAAGCTCCCGACTGCTCTCCGGCCTTTTGTGCTGAGGTAGTGCAATTTTCGCTTCGCTCGGCGGGGAGATACTGCTTACCAGGAATCTCCCACAGCGGGCACCGCCCCAGACGGGACAAAGCTCTAAGCTCCCGACCTCTCTCCCGGCTTGGTTCTAGTGTAGTGCATATTTCCTTCCTCGGGAGGGAGAGATACTCGTTCCAAGTATCCCCACCAGGCGAGGACCTTCCAGCCGGACAAGCTCTAAGCTCCCACCGCTCTCCCGCCTCTTTTGCTAGTGTAGTGCATATTTCTTCCTCGGGAGGAGGATACTCTTAACCAGGTATTCCCACCAGCGGAGGCACCGCCCAGCCGGGACAAGCTCTAGCTCCGACCGCTCTCCGCACCTTTGTGCTAGCTGTAGTGCATATTTCTTCCTCGGGAGGCGAGGTACTCGTATACCAGGTATCTCCCCCAGCGAGACGCCCCAGCCGGGACACGCTCTAGCTCCCGACCTCTCTCCCGGCCTTTGTGCTAATATGTAGTGCATGATTTCCTCTCCTCGGCGGAGGAGATTACTCGTTACCATGTATCTCCACAGCGAGGCAACGCTCCAGCCGGGAAACAAGCTCTAAAGCTCCGACACGCTTCCCGCGCCTTTGTGCTGTGTAGTGCATAGTTTCCTTCCTCGGGTAGGAGGGAGATACTCAGTTACCAGGTATCTCCCACCAGCGGGCACCGCCCCAGCCGGACAGCTCTAAATCTCCCGATCCCGCTCCCGGCCTTGTTGCTAGTGTAGTGCATATTTTCTTCCTTCGGGAGGCGGAGTTACTCGTTACCAGGTATTCTCCACACGAGGGCAACGCCCCAGCCGGACAGCTCTAAAGGCTCCCGACCGCTCATCCGCGGGCGCCTTTGTGCTAGTGTAGTGCTATTCTCTTCCCAGGAGGAGGAGTTACTCGTTACCAGGTATCTCCCACCAGCGGGGCACCGCCCCAGTAACTTTTTTGAAATATTTAAGCGGTGTTTGATAAAATAGTTAGTAGAGCGGTTATAGTTTTTAGACGTGGATTAGGAGGCAGAGAGTTGTGGACATTTGATAACAAGGAAGCTTTGCTCCCGTGTAATAGAATCAATTTGCATCGGGAAACAGCTACAGATTTAATTGGATAATACCGCCGTCGAAGTAACTAAATACGTTCTCGTCTAGCTAGGAAAATGACAGCTCAACAAAATATGCACATATTATATTGGAAACTCTATTTACCTTGCCTGCACTGTTAATGAGGACATCTTGTTATTTAGGTGTTGTTATACTATCAGCCCTCATTTCCTTGTGTTCTGGGATCCCTACCCTTTCTTATTCAGTGCACGGTTGACTTATGAATAAAGCATAGAAATGAGTGATTGTTACTTCTGGTAATTGATGTGAGAAGTTTTGAGAGCAACTTTTGGACCCACTAGCAAGTAGTACGTAGTAAATGATTCATGAAATGCAGCTGCTGAGTATTCAGGATGTCCGGGGAGGATACGTCAACATTTTGAAAATAAGCTCTTAAGACAATTTTAAGCATATTTTGTCTAATAAACTTTTGAGAAGTAGTCGCGGACCTCCCTTTACCTATATCTCATATACAATAATCCTTCAAACATGTTGTTAATATCAAAACTTGTGTAATGTAAATAAATAAATATGTATACCCAACCCAATTATGTAAGTACCTACATTATTAATACATTTTGACCATTTATATGCTTGTATGAATTGTATGTAATTGTATAATGGCATAACTATAAAAAAATGTGTATTCTTGTGTAAATTATAAATTGATTCTCGTGGTCGCTTATGACCCAGTTGTTGAAAAGCGACCTTAAATATATGAAATAAAATAAAAAAAATCTTTTGAGATATTCCGAATGGCTGAGACGCAATAGTTGCACTCAAAAGTTGGTTTGAAAAAAAATGCTTTCTAAGCAAACATTTGCTTTGCAGAAGTACTCAATTTACACCATTCGACAGCATTTTTTATATTTCTGTGATAATTTTTCTATCTCAACAAATATATTCATTTCTTTCTTAATAATAATAATGAATTTACATGTTTCTAGAATGTTTATATGCTTCTGCAATGCAAACTTTTTCCTAGAAAGCATTTTTTCAAACCAAATTTGAGTGCTTATTACAGCTCAGCCATTCGAAATATCCACGTAGTTTATTAGGCAAAATATACTTCAAGTTGTCATTAAAGCTTATTTTCGAAGTTTGCACGTTTTCTCCCCGGACATCCTGTATAATATTTCAATCTGAAGGATACAGGAACATAAGTATATTATTGACCTTACTACAGGTCTTGATACAGGGATTTTTTTGGTTAGGTGTTCAACCATAATCGTGCGCTTATGGGTGGCAGGGGGGCCGCGCCCCCTTGAAAATTTCGAAAGGAGGCTCGTAGCATTAAGCAATAAAACATTATATTTTCGTCGATATGAAATTAATTAATGATTTTGTCGCCCTTGGAGCTGACAACGAGAACTTTTTGATTGAGTGATGATTTCGGTCCCGTCACCAGCTAAGGTGATTAGTGCCGTAAGTGTGGTGCATGTTTCCCCCCCACGGGAGGTGGTGTTGGTGATCTTCCCTGATAGATGGAGAGATTCAGCGCCGACCTGCCGTTGGCTAGCGGGGTTATCCCCAACCAGGTATCTCCCACCGCTGAGTACCGCCCCATCCGGGACAAGCTCTAAGCTCCCCACCGGTCTCCCGGTTTGTGTGGTAGTGTAGTGCATGCAAGTGTGTGTAAGTATTGAATTGAATTGAAATAATGCCTTATTTTACGTGGCGAGACTCGGGCCATCAGGCCCGCTCTTCCGTCTGACCACGCAAATTTCGCTAAGCTCCTTTCACCCACTAGCAG